ATGTAATAATCGTATAGTAGTTCATAAAATAAATAGAAGCAGGATCGCTTAAATTCAAAAAAAAAAAAAAAAAAAAAAATCTAATCAGTAACTTTGTTTTCTAAAATAAGCTTAAAACCCTGTCAATAGCTTTTAAAATACTGTATTGTTTCTATAAAAATTAATGGATTTTAAAATTACAGTATATAGTAATATTTTTATTGTTCAGTATAGCTACTAGCATTATATGAGTTTCTTTTTTGAAAAAAAGCAAAAAGCTAAGATTTTTTTAAAAGCTTAATAATAAAATCACAAAACTGCAGAATTTATCGCATAATTTGAAACTTGTCGCAGCAAAAAAAAACCGAAAGCCCTAATTACATGTAACTACAGCATGTTTGTAATAAATATAAAAAAATGATATATAATTATTTTTATTATTATACAATTAGGAATTAATTAAAATTTTAAATCTATTTGACATATAACTAACAAATTAATCAATACCTTTTTAAATTGAATATAATTAATAAGCAAAATTAGCTTAACAGAAATTTAACATTTTCATAATACATTAGCATAGGATTTTCACCACTCTTAGTTTTAGTCCTTTCCAAATCAGCATAACGTTTTAAAAAATCACGTTGAGACAAAATTCTAATATTCTCTTCAGCTTTACCAGAATGACAAACCAAACGATAAATATCTCTCAATAATTCAAAATTAATTGGGAAAAAAATATCAAACCAGCCAGGAGATACCATGAGAGTTGAGCATGGTACCATTGTATCTTCGTAACGTGTTTGTACTACAGGGGCATCTGTTCCTCGAATCGTATCGGGAAGTTTATAAAAATCGGAAATTATTAAACGATGTTGTGGGAAATAATCTTTTAGTAATTCGAGAAACAATAATGCTTTAGTGGGAATGAACTCTGGAGAGGTCATATTTGGAGAAAAAGGAAGTTTGTTGCGTAATTGTCGGAAAAAACGATTTTGTAGTGCAGGAGTTTTATAAAAAGTTTTGTTACGAAGAGCAAGATAGCGAATGATTAACGGATCGCCAACAGGTTCATATATTTCTTCAAAGTCACCTTTGTCATCTATCATTACAACAGCTTGGTAGGGGTTTTCAGAGATACAGTCATAGCGAATTAAATCATGAGCGAAATTATCCTGTAATAATAATAATAAAAATAGACCATTTATATTAACTAAGTCTAAAATTTAAATAAATGAATAATAATAAAATAAAAATAAAAATATACCAATACTTCAAAAGCAAAAACATAACAGGGATCGGTAACAAGTTCATTCCAATCAAAAATACTCTTATTGATAATTTCAACACAATCATGTACATTCTTATTATTTTGAAGATCCTGATTTTGAAGTTGTCTTTCAGCTAATTTCGAACTAATTTCTACAATTTTATATCTTGTTCTTTTATAAATAGATGGCTCGAATTTTTGTATATAGTCCAAGACGTTACGCATTAAAGTTGCATTACCAGCCCCAAGTTCGTAAATTATTAAATCATGTGAAGGATAACCGTTTAATTTATATTCAGTGACTACGTATTTTGCTATTGCATAACCATACCAAGGCTATAGAATTATTATTATTATTTTTTTTTTAAAAAAAAAAAAAAAAAGAAAAGATTAATTTAATAATATTAAGTAAATCAAAAAGAGAAAATCCATGATAAACCTTGAATAATTCAGTTGAAGTATGCCAAACTTGTCTAGACACTTTATTTGTTACATCTAAAGGCACTTCGAGTTGTTTATATATTTTTGCCACCAAGTTCATAAACTCCAAATTATCTTTAATATTATTAAATTCAAATTCTTTTTCAGGAGAGAAAATAATTGCTTGTTTTGAAAAATACCCATAATTTGGATTATATAATGAATCATCGATAAAATCTCGAACTAGCATTTGAGCGCATTTCGGAGGAGTTGTTCTGCTGGTTAGTTGTGAGGCATTGTATCTTTTATAAGTGGAATATTCCGGATTTACTGGTATTTCATCTAATAATCCTATAGTACTTGATCCAGTAGCGGACGTTAATTTGCGAGATATTATCGAGGATTGGCGCCACCAATAACATATTTTTGAATTAAATGCAAGTTTAGGATGTGAAAGTAACATTTTTTTTTTTTTTACACGAAAATTATCAGAAAAAAACGCTCTTTTTTATTGGTTAAAAAAAGGATCGACGATTTTACAATAAAAAATTGAATGTCTATTTTGATTGGTAACTCGATATCGACGAAGCTTTATCGAACACCTTATCGTGAATAGGTGTAAAAACGATTATGGTGCATTTGGTTAAATTCGTAAATACGTATGTACGTACCAGTCATATAATATTTATTAATATTATTTGAGGGCTGCTAAGAGAAACCAAAACACGAACAATTCTGATATAAGTGCGTCGGGTCATCCGGATCAAAACGGGTGACCCGGATCAAAACGATTAATCTTTTCTCTGATAAGATTTGAAATCATACTCATATGCTCACCCGGGTCACCCGATTTCAAATTACACGGTGACCCGGGTGACAATTTTGCATCGGGTCTAACCACTGTCTAACCTCTACCTAGAATTCATCTTGAGAGAAAAATTAAATTAGGTCACAGCATTCTGTGACTATGACGACGTATATACGAGTTTCGCCTGCATCTCAAATTCACGGATCAATAAGAGACAAAATTTAATCAGCAGTTTTTTAAAGATTGGCACAGATTCTAACCAATCGGACAAATGATATTCAATCAGATAATCAGAAAAAAATTTTTTTCACGCGTAAAAACATTGATCTATGGTCAGTAAAGGTTTGATTTTTGTCTCTTATTGAGGGGTGAAAAAACAAAGAAACTATGAAATACAATTATGGGTATTCTGTCCCATCTGCTCTTGTGCATATGTGCAACAGGACAGAAATCAAAAGTATCGAGCCAAAAAAAGAAAGTACTAAAACTGATGGCTTGCTAAAACTAAAAAACTAAAAAAAAAAACTAAAAAACTAAAAAACTAAATACTAAATGCTTATCGCAAGAGGCGGGGTGAAAAAAACCAGACAACTTCATCTGAAAAAACCCCGAGTTCCCCTATGACTACCCTCAAACTAAAAAGTAACTGTTGTCTGACAGGCCACACTATGTCAAAAAACATAAACAGTTTTTCTTACGCCTGTCGTCCTGGCAGGGCACTCCAATATACAAAAACTCAAGAAAAAACCCCCTAGCGACTGTTGTCTCGACAGGCCACTTTAAAAAACCCAAAAATACTTTATGACTGTCGTCCGACAGGCTATAAATAACAACAACTAAAAAACAGTAAACTTGGAGACTTTTGAGACGCCATGTACGAAGGCCAGGTAGGGTGGGGTGAAAAAACCAGACAAAGTTGGGTTAGCAGAAAAAACAGAAAACGACTTTTCCTGGCACCAAACCCGTTTACCATAAATACTACTATCGCTTACTAATCGAATTACCACGTCACTACGTCACTAAAAACTCATGAGAAAAAAATCATATGAAAGTTAATCACCAATAAATCAAAAAAAAATCACAAAGAACAATGCTCAATAGATCAAACAATTCATTAATGATCAAAATAATACATCATGTGACCAGCATGTCCCGTGACCAATTCGAGACAAAAAGCTGCTCTGATACTGCCGTATCGGGCAGCTAAATTTGTCTCTCATCGAGGGGTGAAAAAACAAAGAAACTATAAAATACAGTTATGGGTTTTGCCGAGAATTGCTACTTAAATTGTTTACCTACTGGTCAAAACCCATTAAGACTCGATGCTCCCATCTCGGCCATATTAACAGCCCTCATATACAATTGCACTGCCCCTAACGACCAACCACCAATTGATTGAATTTGCTCCATTGTCATGCCTCCTTGCATGGCTGCCGTTGTGCTCCCAATCCTTAAACTATGTGCAGTGTATCTTCCATGCAACCCCGCATTTTTAGCAAAATGTTTAACTATCGCTAAAATGGCTGCTACAGACAACTTCCCTCTCGTTTTTGACAAAAACAACGGCTCTTCCGCAGGAGTCCCAGGCCTTACTCTTAAATACAAGTTTAATAACTTTATTAGACAAAGCTTACCCTGTGTTTTTTCTAATGGAATAAACTTCCCCTTCCCCAACTGGTCCATTTTGAACTTTGCAATTCTAAACCATAACTTCCTATCTCTCTTCAGCATATCAGACCTTTTCAAATTGCACAACTCTGCTGGTCTTCACATCAACCTCAATCCCAAAGCTATTAAAGCTAAATCTCGTGCCCAAAATTCTACACTTACTCCTGGCGGTGGATACTCCATATAGTGCCTAATTACCGCAACTAGCAACAGGTCTTTTGGCTAACTAGTTCTGTTTCCTACTCTTGCCATAACTCTTTTGCTTTCTTCCACTATTAAACAAACCAAGCTATCTTTCATTGGGTCCTCAAGGTTCCTCATTTTGTGTTTCCTTGCCACTGCTGCCAAGCATATTGCCATTTCCGACACTCTTCCCGAGGCTTCAAGCCATGCAAGAAAAGCTGCCAAAAGCTTTCTAGATGCAGGGTAAGATGGAAAACCTACCCAGAACGCAAATTTTTCGAAAACACCATGTGCCTTTTCTAAACGCTTTTGTACGCCTCACTAACCGAACTGTCCATCAAGTGTTTGGCCCTTCCAAGCAAGTCTCGGACCAATCTAGCAACACAGCTCTCAGGCACCATTGGTCGTTTTTGCAAGGCTTCAAGTTTTCTGAGAGCCCCGGTATTACGATATGCTTCGTTGGAGGGAGATCGATTTCGCTTCTGAACGAATTTAGTACTAAGGGCCACCACAGGGCCGAGACCCAAATCGGTACTATAACAACCATCCATGCCCACATTCCTTCATGTGGCAAAGTGCTCTGTGAATTTGCCCGAATGGAAGGCACATATAATTTTTTACTCCAGCCCAATTTTGGGTAAAACAATCCACAGCCTCTGTCTCTGGACAAAAATATTGGCTGTTAAACCTTCAAGTTTTGGAATTTAGATGGTTTGCGAACCTGTCCACCTCAAATTTTCCTCAAACTACCTCCAATTGGCCCACAACTGCCGAACTCAACACCCAATCCCCATATCGGGTACTCTTGTTAGGAAGTCCGCTAGGTTCATCTCGAAAAGCACTCACTGTGTATCAAAAATCGCCAAGTTGCTTTCTGCACACACCTCCCAAATTTGTCTCATTATATCCTTCTGCTACATCTCCGGGCCTCCTTTTACTACCATTTTTAGGGCCACCCTGTTGTCGATAAACAAGGTCACCCAAGTTCCTTTCAACAGGTCCTTGAACAACTGCAGTGTCCTTAGTACTGCCAAAGCTCCTAACTGCGCAATAACCCTTGACGTATGGGGATATGCCCAGCTTCCTGAAGCCTTGTGTTCACGAAAAATCCTGCACCAACCGGTTGTTGAAGCATCGACATAGACCGAATTTATCCATGAGGGTTTCCAGGCCGGCCGGCCATTCCACTTTCTCAAGTTTTCTACTAGCCACTTGACGTTCTCGACCGTCTGGGCCGACAAAGAAACCTCGTTGTCCCATTGCCAAGTATAGCGGTTCTGTGTATCTATGAGTTTGTAAAACTCCATGCACTTTACCTGGCCCGGAAGGAAAGCCCTGGACAAACTTATCACCTTGCCTACCACTGAAGCCAAGTCTCTTGCCATGACTGTTGGTGCTTTCAATAAGGCCTCTAACTTTGTTGTTGTCGAAGTTATTTTCTCTTCTGGTGCTACTACACAACCGTTTACCGTATCCACGATCATCCCACAAAACTTTAAAGTTCGAGTTGGGTCCCAGCTTTCTTTTTCCTTGGCCCTGGTCCAACCACAACCCTCCAAATCAACCTTCATGACCTTTTCCCTTATACTCAACAGTTCTTCCTTCGATGGATAGACCACCCATACATTGTCTAGATGACATCCACAGAAAATTCCTTGGGCCTGCCACTTGCCAATCACGGCTCTCATTATCTTCGAAAAAACCTATGGGGCCTGACTTAGTCCAAAGAGAAGAACCCTGTACCTATACCAGTTCCTTTTCACCACGAAACCTAAAAGCCTTTGGGCTTTGGCATCTATCAGTACGTAATAGTAACTCTCCTTTAGATCGAACAATATTAATCACTATCGTTCTCAGTAACCCTCCTAGGCCTTCGAAACGAAAGGTTTTTCGTGGCAAAGTTTGGTTTAGCCTCCTCAAGTTGATTACTAGACGAAACTTCTTGGGCCCTTGTTTTGGGACCAAAAACACTGGGCTTACTTCTAAAAGATTTTCCAGGCAGGAACAACCCTCCACAACTTTTACTATTGCTCCTGACAGTTCCAAATGATCCAATTCCTTCTCCAACCATAGCTCCTCTTCCTGCGTAAACTGATATTGCCTTGGATCCGGCTCCCCTGCTAAACATACCAAGCCCCTTGGAAACAAAGGAATCCCCTCCTTTAACCACTTCACCAATACTTTATCGCCGCCTGACTATGAATTTTCCCAACCACCTGAGCCCTCGTACCCATTAACCTCTTCTCTAAACACCCCCGAGTGTGGTCAACTTCCTCCAGGACGGGCTTCTTCACAAAAGGGTGAACTAAAATTTTTTCTAGAACTGTATTCATTTGCGAAATGGCCCTTACTCTTACAGATATAACAAACCACGTCCTTTCCTTTAAAGCCTTTACTTTTATCAAATCTCCTTGGCCACTGCATATTCTTGATGCTATACAGGAGCTGACATACCCACTCCAGGTCCAAGCTGTTGTGAATGCTATAACACAGGTTGTCCAAATTGAGTGGGCGGTTGGAAAGTTTGAGCCAGAAAAGCTCCGAACTGACCTTGTGGTCCCAATTGTGGCCTCAGAAACTGCTGTTGAAAACCTGCCTGTTGTGCATAAGGCTGAAAATACAGAACTTGCACTGGGGAAATGCTATTTCTCTGAAAAAACGGGACCTGGGCCTGGGGCTGATTGTATTATGAATAGAACATCGTTTTAGCTTTCTTAGGCCTCGTAAAGCGCTGCGTGGCCAACCTGGTACTTTCTTGCTTATTTCCCAAGAGTTCTGACATCAGATCCAAGATTTCTCCAACCATCATTTTCGACGTCATATCCCAACCATCTTCGTCGGCTACCCTAACAACATAGGCCCTTTTTAAAATCACCTACTTTGCTAAACGTACATATTCGATATTACCAGAAACTAAAGCCTTATCTACCAATGCTCCTGCTCTACACCACTCGTTGTATTCCCATTGGTTACGTGGTTTAGACAACTGACGCTTCATCCACAAACCCCCAAGCTCAATATCGTTCACCGATGGTAAACCTAGCTCGGCCTCGTAGTTTTTTTCCCATGCATAACTAGGCATAAAATTTTGCCTGAAGCAGCTAGTTTACTAAAAGCTCCTGCTGCGTTATCCCTAGTAGCTGGCTGCTGAACCTTATTCTCTGCCCAACATAGAGCTTCAAACTCATCTATCGACATATTACTCTCCATATGCTGGCACTTCCTTTCCTTTTTTGGCCAAACCAGACTCATTTATGGGATCTTCCGAACCCACACAAGTTTTACATTCCCTCACTAATTTGGAGGCAATTTCCTGTTTTTGGCCCAGTTCCGATAGCCCCATTCCTCGACAAATAAACCTCAATGTCTCTACCGATAACCATTGAAAACTGGTCTCCAAACTTGTTTGAGCTAAATCAGTGTCACTCAACACAAAGACCGGTAAAGACCGGTTCTGACTTCTTATTCACAGTCGACATCTTAATTCTTTTTTTTTTTATTTTTTTTTATTTTTATTATTCTATCTTTATTTTTTATTTGAACAATCAGATGGCCAGGTAACTCTCAAAGTCGAAATTTCAGTTAACTAAACTAGAGCACGCAGCAGTATGGAAAAACTGAAGCCGAAAAATATATTTATCGTTTGTTACTCAAACTGGAAACAGTATAGTACCACAGATCAAAGTTGCAAAACGTTTGTGTCTTGTTTATTAATTAAAAAAACAGGTAAAAAGTATATAGGTAAAATATGCATGAAAAAACTAGACAGCAGAAAAAACAGAAAATGACTTTTCCTGGCACTAAACCCGTTTATCATAAATACTACTATCGCTTACTAATCGAATTACCACGTTACTACGTTACTAAAAACTCATAGGAAAAAAAATCATATGAAAGTCAATTACCAATAAATCAAAAGAAACAATGCTCAATAGATCAAACAATTCATCAATAATCAAAATAATATATCATATAGAGACACCGGACAGATGCAATCACATAATAGACACATAAAATGCGATTAATTTTTGCTAAATTTAGGTCATTTAT